GCTGTGCCGCTCGCCGAGGCCGCCTACCGACTCTTTGCGCGGCACCGCCTCTCCGTCACGGGGCGCCGCTCCCTGGGCGCCGCCACAGCTTGTAGGCCGCCGTCCGCTGCAGCGCCCGCCGCAGGCTCCGCAGAGCCGAAGTGAGAGGCTCACTTGGCGCCACCTCAGTGGACACCTCTCAGCGTCGCCACCAGCGCAGGCATGCTCGCCGGAGAAAATGCCACGCACGTCGATCCTAGAGAGGATACACGTCGCGCTCACCGCGCTCAAAAGGCGGCCCCTGTCGTGGTACGCGCCGGCGTGGGGAGAGAGAGCGAGACGAGGACTCGAGACGAGATATGTGTGGGGAGAGCCGAGACGTTCCTGGATCCTGCTTCCTCGTTTCGCACGCACGACGCACCGAGTGTGACCGAGCCCGCGGGGGTGTACCCGGCGCGTTAGGTGTTAGAATAATACGTAAACACAGGCGTGGCGGTACAGAAATAAACACTGGCACAAAACCGGACGCGCAACCGTGCTCCGCTGCTTGACGAGGGGACAGGACTTGAGTCTTGAGCGTCTCTCGCAGCCGCGGGGCGGGTTTCTCCATAATCGCACACAACATGCGTCTCAGGTTGAATTTCCAATTTCAGAGCTTGGGCAGCGGGAAGCTCTCCGGCGCCCACTCGATCGGGTTTGGGATGGAGAAAGTGTCGCCCTTGCCGAAGCCGAGCAGCGACTGTGCCGAGAGCTGGACAGGGAAGAAGCAGCCCATGCAGGCAGGCGTGATGCAGCCGAGGACGCGGAACTGGTTTTCAACGCCCTGCACGTGCATCTGGGTGAACTTGAGGTTGAGGTCGTTGGGCGCCTCGCCGTCGCCGCCAAACGGCCGCCACTCGCACTCTACCTGCTCACGGTGAGAGAGAGGTGGGAGAGAAAGGTGTGGAGAAAGAGGTGAGAGAGAGGTGTGAGGCGAGAGAGGTGTGGAGAAGTGGGTGTGAGAGAGAGGTGAGGGGAGAGAGGTGTGGAGAAAGAGGTGTGAGAGAGAGGTGAGGAGAGAGAGGTGTGGCCCGCCTTGATGTCCTCGAGCTTGGTGGTGAAGAGGCCGGCCGAGGCGGCCGGGAAGCACTGCGGCCCGCAGCAGAGCCCGTACATCACCCGCATCCGCAGCTGCTCCGCCGTCGAGAACTCCATCCTTGGCATCTCGAGAGAGAGCCGCAGCGGCCCCTGATTGGTCGCCATCGCGGCGAGCGAGTTTGGGTTGAGGTTCACGTTCTTCACCTGCGTCGCGCGCACGGGAGCCGCGGCTGCTCAGCCACCGGGTGGCAGTCCAGTCGGTGACACTCCACTCGGTGAGCAGACAGGCTCCTCCTCCCAACCTTTGGCTACGGCGGGCGCCTCGAGCGAGTGGATTTCCCCCACCACGTCCTCCTCCACGCCATCCGCCTTAGCGCCGGGCCAGTGGAAGCCCAGCTTGAGCCGCCCCAGCGTGATCGGAATGATAATTGGCGAGTCCTCGTTCGCTCGGGCTCGCAGCGCGTCATTCACCACCTTGGTGAGCATGCCTCGCTCGTTTGCCTGGTAGATGATGTCGTTGACGTACTTCTCGAGCTGCGGGCGGACGTGCTCGTTGGCCGCCTGGCCTGCGGCGTCGATCCAGCCGCCGACCGCGCCCTGGATGTCTGGCATCGGGACGCCCCAAAAGTCGCGAGACCTGGCCGACTCGTCCCGGTCGATCTGCGAGGGCTTGGGCGGGACGAAGTTGTTCTTCTCGCGCTTGAGCTGCACGTACTTCATGCTAGGCTTGGCCTTGGCCGGAGCGGCCTTCGTCGCAGCGGTGGCGCTCATGGTGGTGCAGCTGTGGGCGCGACTGGGCCGAAAGCCTCCCGTGAATCCTGCGCCGCGGTGGGAACGAGGAAGGATGACGCTGGAAAAGCGGCGCGTGGACAAAAGAATTCTGGCCCCCAGAAATTTTCTCGGGTACAACTAGGGCCGTCCTCCATCCCTCCCTTGTTCTCTTTTCTCTTTCTTTCTTTAGGAGCATCAATTAACACCACTATTGCTAAAAATCTCTCTCAGAGCTCAGACCTCAGTCCCACAGCCACAGATCTTCTAAAAATCTCTCAGCCACAGCGGCTCTGGACACACTCTGGAGCGGTGCCGGTTTCCCACCATTCCCAGCCGGTTTCTATTTGGGAATCTCCCTCCCGGGGGCGGGGGCGGGGGGCGGGGAGAGGAGACGGGCAGACGACAGCGCTTTCTCGGGACACGCGGGCGAAAAAAAAACGGCTTCGGGCTTGTTAGACCCCCTGTTGTGGGTTTCCGTCTTCCTTTCTCGGCTCTGAACTCCAATCGGCCCCCATCTCTCCCCTCCCCTCCCCTCCTCCCCCCTCTCTCCTCTCTCAT